ATATAATAATGTCCATAAGGACCACATATTATTCCTTAAGAATCATATACATATACTAGGGATCAAGTATGTGTCTTACAAGACTTCACACATGTTCCACATAATATATATATATCCCGAAGGACCGCGTAGAATTGCACCGTAGTGCCATATAATAATGTCCATAAGGACCACATATTATTCCTTAAGAATCATATACATATACTAGGGATCAAGTATGTGTCTTACAAGACTTCACACATGTTCCACAGAATATATATATATATCCCGAAGGACCGCGTAGACCCTCTACCCTTGGCATGCCAACTATACCTATAGTTCTCATCTACAAAACATGGGCTTTCACACTTCACATAATTTGTATCACGTAGACATAGTATTTTCATACCCTTATCACATAGGCATATCATTTCCCGCATATTCATGTCATGTAATGCATATGGTATAAACTTATATCATGTTTCATAATATGGAATGTAATCATCTATTAAAATATTGAATCTAGACTTATCATAAGTCTAGAACTGATTATAATACTATATCCATGCTATGCATATGCACTCACCTATATTTCCTTGCTTTTTCCTCGATCGATCCTACTTGTCGATTGTTCCAGAACTCGTTTAGGCTCGATATCTACATAGTAATTCATTGATACTTATCAGTATACTAATTAGTATATTCTAAACTATCATTTCTTAGGCTAAAAGAAAAGCCATTTTCATCTTTTAATGGAGGCATGCATCGATGCACTTCTGATGCATCGATGCACTGAGGGCATTCGATGTTCATTTTATTAGAAATGCATCGATACACTCCTTATGCACCGATGCACTGACGACATTCGATGTTTGTATTTAAATTAATGCATCGATGCACTTCATATGCATCGATGCACCTTCAACAAATTTCTGGGATTTATCATTGATGCATCGGTGCATAATGAATGTGCATCGATGCACATTGCCCAGAAATGTCATTTAAGCACGAAAATCTCTTCTAACTCTACTTGACACTTTATATTTCCCCTCTTTTAATATCCCTAACTTGCATACTCTTACTTAAACTAATTATTATCCAATAAATACTTCTAAAACTTATAAATCTAATTCTCCATGTAGAATTTAAGAATCTAACCCAAATTCCAACATGTTCTAATTTGAATTCTAACACCTCATACTTCTTAGTTAGCTTAATGACAAGTCAAATTTCACTTCTAATTCTTATTAAGAACCCTATTCCAAAATTTCACTTTTCTACTTCCTTTATTTAATTCTTCATACACTCCTCATCTTATGGTTTTAAGATAATCTAAGCTTTCCTTAAGCTTAGTTATCAACTAAAGATCAATAAGAAACCTTAAATTCATCAAGAATTTGATCACAAGAAAACTCACATTTGCTTGGCTTCACACGTGAAGAAGAAGAAGAAAGAAATAAGAGAACTCTGGAAACCTCTAAACTTTCCTTTCCTTCCTTCCACGTGTATCTATATATACCATATATTATTATTATATTTTTCTTTTCCTTGCAAATGACCATATTATCCTTTCATTCCCCATTCTTTTCAATTTGATCTTACACCTCATTTCTCATATAAGTCTTTAAACCACTCAATTATTTTAATTTAAATTACCAAATTTTGAAACCTTACGATTTAGTCACTAACCCGGTATTGAGGATGTTACATTACCCCTCCTCTTCCCACCCTTCTCAATGGAAAATGTTCGGTTTCCTCAAGCTTCTTGGATACGGAATGGGGTGGTAAATAACTACTCTAGGAATGATGATGTGGGCCTTTGTTTGCGAAGTCACTTCCAAGTTCAAGTTGGCAGTGGGAGATCAATTTCCTTTTGGCATGATGTTTGGTTGGGTTGGGCAGTTTTCCGTTGAAGGTTCAGTACCCGAGGCTGTTCGCACTATCAATTAATAAGGATGGCAAAATCGCTGAGTTTAGGTCTCAAAGTGCCTCGAGTTGGAGTTGGAACATTCAAATGCGCAGGAATCTAAGTGATTGGGAATTGGATCTGTGCGTTGAACTAATGTCTTCACTTTGCAACTTTAACTTAGCTCCATAAAGGATGATTATTTTGTGTGGACTGGCAATGGGTAAAGTCCTGCATCAGATTATTGACTGGTTCGGGAGAATCAGATCCTATATGATCGAATCAGGTTTGGCTTGGGGTGGCGCCTCCTAAAGTGGAGTCTTTTGTTTGGAAGGTAATGCATAAAAAGTTGGCTGTCAAAACTATACTTATAAAACGTGGGATACTTGGATCTGAAGATAACCTTTGCCTTCTCTGAAGTCTAAATTCCAAATCTGTATCCCATTTATTTGTTTCCTGCAGAGTTACTTGGGAATTATAGTCGCGTTTCATGCAGTTTTGGAAGGTGTGTTTTGTCTTTCCTGATGATATTTCAGCATTTCTAGTTGCCTGGTTTGAATTAGTTCCTCAGTCTACAATATGGAAGTTTATTCCTGGCGCCGTGTTATGGTCAGTCTGGTTATGCAGAAATTCCCTAATTTTTGAGGATGGGGTTCTAGATACTTCAAAGTTATTTTTAACAAGAAGCAGAAGCAGGTTGGCAGCTTGGTTTTCGGCCAAATTTCCCAATGTTTCTATTTTAATGGACTGTCTTATAGGAGATCCGTCATTAGCGGAACCATGTCCAGCACTAAAGAAAAAAAATTCCCCCTCCCCCCATTTGGTCTCCTCCACCATCGGGCTACTTTAAAGTTAATGTGGATGGAGCGGTGAATAGAGATTGGAGTGCTGGAGGTATTGGAGGGTTACTCCGGGATTCGGATAGCATTTTGCTTGGTTCTTTTTCGGATTCCATAGGGCCTGGATTTCTGACGCCATTCCCTCTTCTCCATCCTAAGCAAGTCCCACAAATTAGAACGCAGGAAATTCAACTCCCTTTTAAGTCGGGCGTTGGAGGGATCCATTTGAATTTCGGCCTCGATCAAACTAATCTTCTGTTCTATATTCTGGGTAACAGTAGCTGGCTCTTCTTTCCTCAAATTCAACCATCTCTTAATAGCCACTTTCGAACCCCTCAAAATTTGACTAATTCCTGAGCCCTGTGACTTGGTAAGGACTGCGTTCATCATATTATTGAAATTCTGAGTCAATGGTTGAAAAACTTACACGGCCGCGGACCCAATTTAAAGTCTCTTCAACACAGACCAGAAGAGGATTATGATCCGAGATTGACTTTGAGAGAAACACGACGCTTAGAACCGGTGACCACGATAGAATTTCAAGTGACACTAGAATTCTATCAAACTTGCACATCGTTGGGATTTCCCGAAAGTTGCTCCTTGTAAACTTTGAACCCACTAATGGAAGATCCACCACTGCTATCGATAAACTGTCCAAGATTTTCCATGGAAGCACGATTTATTGACAGGCCTATTTTCTTACTTTCCTCTTTAAGTCTCTCCAATGATCCAAGGGATATTAGATGAGGCCATGACATTAGTAATTTCTGAAAAAAATCCTTTCCTTTCTGCAAAGTCATTGGAGCATATATGTTGATGATTCCATCCTTACTTCTCCATTGAGGTATACACCCAATCATCGCTATGAAGTGTTGTTGAATTGCATGAGATTCAACCTTGAAAAAAATTAGAATCCCACACACAAACCAGATCACCCGCCGACCCAATCGCCGGCGAGAAAAGGAAGTTTTCAGCCCTACCACCGCAACAGGACGCGATTTTCCTATTGGATAGTTCCTTAGCTTTTGATTCTTGAAAAAGCAAAATTTTAATACCGTGTTTCTTCACTAACGACCTAACTACTCTTACACTTTTCCGATCTCCATGGCCCACGCACATTCCACGATAATAATTTAAACCCAAACATAAATTAAACAGAAAACACACCTTGTTATTTGAGAGATTTTCCCCCAACTCAGAGTTGATGCCCCGCTTTCTCTTCAATACGAGCTAAGTGTTGAATAATCGCTTCCTTATCCTCGTGGAATTTCCCCACTAATTTCACCAACTTAACCTACCAGTACGTTCAATTTATCATCGACCAAAAATCCTTTATCAAACTTCTTCAAGGTCATCAACGAATTTCTTTTCCATTGATACTACATAACTCTTAATTCTCCTTCATTTCCCCACTAATTTCACCAACTTCATCCGTCAGTCCATTTAATTTATCATCAGACAATCTTCCTTCATCCTTGAAGGTGCCAATCATCTCTTCAATTCTAATTTGTCTTTCCAAACTCTCACAAACAATTCGTTTAATCTCATACCCCGTAGTTTTCACAGATTGAACAGGAAAGCCAGAACCTTCCTCTCTCTACACTCATGGTAGCCTACTCTTCAACTGTGTATCAAGTAGGGATTATTTTTCCAAGTATGTTTGTAGTTGGAGTTTAATTTTTCAATATTTTGTAATCTCAATGTCCTTTTTCATCATTTTAATAACTTCAATCTGGCGTGTGGGGAAGAGAAATTGAAGTTCTTTTTTTTTCCAGGAATTGGAAAATGATGTAGAGTTGCTATTATTTCACCATTTTTATTAGTAAATTGAGAGCTGGAATTTATGCTTTACTGGCACATACCAATCATCTTGAACATTCAACTATTGCGTTTCTATTCAGTTTATTAAATAGATGATGCGCCTGTAATACTGTGAAGGAAGTTGAAATTTATCTCGTAATATTCAAAACCCCACATCTAATCAGATACCTAATCAATCATATATTACCGTAATAGTGAGATTTATGAATTCAAATATAAATTAAAAATAGAATCATTTCATTCTTATAATTAGTTTTTAAATAAAAGAGTATAAATTACTAATTACCAGAGAGTTGCCAATAAGCATACAATAACGGTGACAGATGAGAATCAATGTTCCAACACCAAAACACATAATTGGACACTTTAAATTTGTAAACTTCGTTAAAATACAATTTTAAAAAAAACCGTACCTTTTTCATCAACGATACTGATATAAAGAGGAACACAAACACCTTGAATACATGTAAAACATAAAGAGACAACACGTAATTTAAACTCGTGCAGTATGAAGAGCTCTCATTCCTCTCTGGTAATACTCCCAATGTGTGATTTCGTAATCTTGAACCTTGTTGAAAAGCGGTGGTGTTTCCTCATTCACCAGACCATCTAAGGGTCCGATCTCTTTGTGTTTTTGTGGGGTGTAGAAAACTGCAATCGACGTCCTCTCCTTCTCCATGTGGCTTACTACCCTATGAACCGGGCTCTTCCATATCCCATTTGTCATTATCTGATCAACATCACCATTCACATCACTTTCACAAGCTATAATGATTATTATCGAGTTCGTGCTCATTTCTTGTTTCTTAATAGTGTTTAAGGCATTTTGCTCACATATTCGTGTTAGGTCTAGAACTGTCGGCACGCGGCATATAAGCTTATCGGTGAAATCAAATGGATTATGATGATTATTGACCGTTCACCTCTTTGATTAAGGTTGAGAACATTAACAGATGAAAAACCGACATTTGATCAATGTCAAAATGTTCCACCTCGATGAAGAGGTAGAACATAAAGTTAAAGTTCTGTGGTTTCATTTAAGAATGCATCTCATCTCTCGGTCATAGAGAGATTATATAGGAACTTGATAATGCATGTATCATTGTAGAAGTATAATCACTACTAGTAGATTAACATACTAAGTGGATATGATCAGATGACCGTGAATTTGATTTTGATAGGGTACATAGGCCTATCAGAAGTAGTATCAACTAATCATTAATATTTCCCGAAAGATATTAGATATTTCATATTTCTAGCGGGATTGTAACAAAGTTATAAGAAGTAAGTATGCATAGATATGTAGGTTAATGTAAATACCTCCATTTGATCACCCATGAGGATTAGGAGTGCTTCAGGTAGAGTGGGGACTGTAAACCAATGCTGATTTTGGAGAATTTGAAGGCCTTCAACTTCATCTTGCAAGATTATGGTGTAACCGGTGCCATCTGCATGAGGTTTCAACCCAAGAACAATTTCAGGCCTCCGACAACACGGGTAATAGTTGAACCTGGCCTGCAACGCCGCTCCTTCGCCGAATTCATCCAGGATACAATTTTCCTCCAACCCCAGCGACTTAGCCATCGATTTCGAAACACTCTCTGTCACCATTCTCATCTTACATGTGTAATTTTCTAAAACTTCCCTGCAAAATGGAATTATGAAGCATGCATGCTGTGAACAGCTTATGTTATATACAGGTCCTCCGTATAGGGATATAAATGACGGATCTAGCTATTCAAGTTTGATTCAATCAAATTTTGGTTAACGTTCAAATAGAATCATCTTGACTTGAGTTTTTAACGAGTCGAAACGAGTTATTTTTATTTAATTCTTAATTTGAAAAAACTCTCGAGTAACTTGAAAAAATATAATAAAATTTAATTTTTTAAATTAAATTATTAATAATATTAATATTTTTATGTTATTTTTTAAATACAATATAAAGTTTTCATATACTTATGGTTTATATTTAAATTGGGTTCAAGGTTAAATCGAGTTAAGCATAAGAAAGTTTTGAGTTTAGGTTATTTGAACTTGAATCGAGCTTAAAATTTTAAGATAGCGAGTTTTCGAATCAAGTTTTAATTTTTGATTTGGTATTCGAAGTCTGACAATTTTAAATTCGTGACGTTTCAAATATAGTCAAACTCATCCTTAAATTTTTGAATATTCAAATCGAATCAAGTTCATCCATACTCAAACAAGAGTGAGCTAGTTTTCAGCCATATCTCCGTATACTAAAATTAGACATAGCCTTACCTGAAAGATTTGGGGTTCTGGGGCCAAAATTTGGCGACCCTTAAATCTTGAGGATGAACTGTGAGAAACAAACGGTCTTGCCAGTCAAGGAACTGACCTTCTTCAGGGGTAGGGTCGCCTCCATATCCTTCAAACTCTTCAACTCCTTTGCTGTACTTTTTCTTCTCTTCCATTGGCTGTTGGAAGAATTCCCTGCTCACTTGCCGAATTTCGTCTAGGAAACAACTTGATATCCCATGATTTATAGCCTGACACAAATTAACAACCCATCGAGATCGAGAGAGAGAGAGAGAGAAGAAGAAGAAAAGAAAACTGGGTTTACAGTGCTGGATTTCAAACCTGAAAGCAACCCCAAGAGCACAGTGCTGATTTAAGCTTCTGCAATTCTTTTTCTTCTTCTGCTTTGGAGGTTAATTGTGAGGAGGAGAGCAGATTGAGGTCGATAATGGGAATAGGAGCTAACGGGGATGAGCCATTTGCAGCTTCTTTTTCATCTCTGCAGATGTAGAGTGACTCTGGTTCTTCACCATTGATGACCATTTCTTGAACTCGCTTTGACAGCAGCACATCGGCAAGACTGGCCATGTTTGCAGCAGATTCAAAGCGCTCAGATTACTTGGAAAATGCTTGTAAGAAGTGGTACAGATTGATAATAAGCACAGATACAAGAACTGAATTTTCAACTTTTCTGATACTGATATACTGAAAACTATGATACCACTATGAGTGGATGGGACTGAGATGGAATGTACTTTTGTGCACCACTAGTGCTTCATTCCATGAGCAATTGTCTTGGAAAACGCAAGTGGTGATGTAATTTGATTTGTACTGCTTATGGCCTTATTTTCTTTTTAAATATTGACCTATTACTATTTCTTTTACAAAAGGAAATGCCGATTAATATATTAAATATAAAACGTGTCCAACAAGGGTAGTTTTGCGGTGCGGCGCCTAAAAAACGGTTAATATACGGCGTGACCGGTTAAACAAGTGACCGGTTAAAATTTATACCGGTTATGTTATATTATTTAACCGGAAATATTATAAAGTACAATAACATACTAGGTAGCGCTTATATAATGTAATAGGTAGTGCTTATATTTACCTAATTTATAAGTAAACCGGTATATTTATACCGATAGTATTACAAATTTACCTATTACATTATATTATATTGAAAGTGTCCATACTTTTTATAAAAAGGATCGATACTTCTTTTAAAGTTATGTAATTTATGTTTCAATTTTTTGAATAGTGTTTCATGTTTTCCACCTATAATATTAATTTAATAATTTCATTTGCACAAAAAATTATTTGATTATTTGATATTTTATAAAATATTATTTAGAATTTTTAATTTAATAATAATATATATCGTAACGTAAAAAATAAATCATTAGACGCCTATAATTACTAAATTAAAATCTTAAAACTCACTCAAAAGATAACCTTAAATTAATGTTTTCAACAGTGAAAAAAGTATGGACACTTTTATAAAAATGATAGACACTTTACAATATAACCACTACCTATTACATTATATAAACGATACCTATTACATTATATAAGCGCTACCTATTACATCATATTTTTACCTATTATATTGAAAGTGTCCATACTTTTTATAAAAAGGATCGATACTTATTTTAAAGTTATGTAATTTATGTTTCAATTTTTTTTAATAGTGTTTCATGTTTTCCACCTACAATATTAATTTAATAATTTCATTTGCACAAAAAATTATTTGATTATTTGATATTTTATAAAATATTATTTAGAATTTTTAATTTAACAACATTAAATATATATCGTAACGTAAAAAATAAATCATTAGACGCCTATAATTACTAAATTAAAATCTTAAAACTCACTCAAAAGATAACCTTAAATTAATGTTTTCCACAGTGAAAAAAGTATGGACACTTTTATAAAAAGGATAGACACTTTACAATATAACCACTACCTATTACATTATATAAACGATACCTATTACATTATATAAGCGCTACCTATTACATCATATTTTTACCTATTATATTGAAAGTGTCCATACCTTTTATAAAAAGGATCGATACTTCTTTTAAAGTTACGTAATTTATGTTTCAATTTTTTTAATAGTGTTTCATGTTTTCCACCTACAATATTAATTTAATAATTTCATTTGCACAAAAAATTATTTGATTTTTTGATATTTTATAAAATATTATTTAGAATTTTTAATTTAACAACATTAACCAAAGATAATAATAAATATGTAATATATATGTTTATTGTTTTTAATTTAATAATAATATATACAACATCAAACACATTCCAGCTATAAATTACAAGCTAAGGACACTTGAAGAAGCAAGAGAACAACTATCCAAGCAATCAAAAACGAGAAAATCCCAACATGATAACAACTGAACATATCATATCAATGTTCAAAATCAAGTTGTAGATTTTGATTTCCTTTTGCTTGGCATCATATGAGATTTGAATTTTGATTTCCTTTTGCTTGGCACCATATGAGCTTTGGATTTTGATGAGCATCGGAAGTATTTCAGACTTATGATTTGGGTGGTACTCAGAAGCATTTCGGACTTAGATTTTAGTTGCTATTTGTTTACCACCCAGATCATACGCCCGAAACGTTTCTGACGCTTTAAAGTTGACCAAAAAATACAATGGTCTGGATTTCCCTCGCGTTTAAACTTTAGAAAAAAACAATGGAAATTAGGAATAATCAATGATAACATGCATATTGGCTTGGGCTAATATTTATAGTGGAGCCGAAATATATATTGAAATTCAAACTCAAATTGAAATTTAAATTCAAACTCCAATTACATATGAAATGAATTTGAAATGCAGTGTTAAATTGAACATGAAAATTGCATAATTGATTCATACTGTTCAAGTAACATGCTTTATGAACCATCAAGCTAAAAGACAATATTGATTGAGTTCAAAGCTGAGTTGTGAGTTGATGGAGTTGTCACACTTGTCACATGGTTGGAATAAAGTAATTTGATGTAATAATTTTATTTGCACAAAAAATTATTTGATTGTTTTGATATTTTATAAAATAATATTTAGAATTTTTAATTTAATAATAATATATATCGTAACGTAAAAAATAAATCATTAGACGCCTATAATTACTAAATTAATATCTTAAAACTCACTCAAAAGATAACCTTAAATTAATGTTTTCCACAGTGAAAAAAGTATGGACACTTTTATAAAAAGGATAGATACTTTACAATATATTATATAAGCGCTACCTATTACATTATATAAACGATACCTATTACATTATATACTTGTAGTTATTGTACATACCTAAATATGTACTGCTAATTTAATTTTGTACCCACCCTTTAACTACCACTACCAATGCCACATCATAGTGAAAGCAGCACGACTGAAACATATTCAAAATGAACCTTTGCTTACATCTCCATCAACTCCTGGAGCACTGAACTTGCACAACAAAATTTTTGCCATGGATAATACTGATGTAGACAATGTTAAGCCAACCGAGGAATGCCATGAAGTACATAATGTTGATGAATCTGACAGATTGGTTGGTCAGCTCTTCTGTTCACGTGATCAAGCTTGGCACTTTTACAAGGGATTCGCACGGGAACATGGGTTTAGTGCACGTAAGGGAACAACACGGCTTGACGTGGAAGGGGATGTGAAGACACAAGAATTTTGTTGTTCCAAAGAAGGGTTTCGAGTATCAAAAGTCAATACTGTTGATCGCCAACGTGCTCATACGCCAGTCACAAGAACAGGATGTAAGGCTAGAGTCGTAGTTACAGCAACAAATACAAACGATCAGTGGGTTATAAGTAAGTCTGATCAGAAACATAATCATGCATTGTGCACATCTGCTATGACACCATTTATGCGTTCTAATAGAGCTGTAAGTAAGGCTGATATCGATGAGGCAACAACATTGAAAGAGGTCGGTGTTGGCACGTCACAAGTAATGAACTATTTAACGCAGCAGGCAGGGGGCTATCATAATGTTGGATTTACACATAAAGACCTCTACAATGCACTTCAAAGAGGTAAAGCAAAGGAAATCGTCGATGGAGATGTGAATGCGCTTATTGCCTACTTTGATTATAAGAAACATGATGATCCCGAGTTTTTTATGACATACTCGGTAGACGAATCGGGGGCATTGTATAATCTTATTTGGTCGGATTCTACATCGAGATCGGATTACACATGCTTCGGTGATGTAATTGCGCTCGACACAACGTACAAAGATAATTTGTATGGTCGACCAATTATGCCTATTGTTGGTGTCAATCATCACCATAACACAATTGTGTTTGCCACTGCCATAATCGCTGACGAGACGTCTCAATCTTTTGAGTGGGTGCTACAGAATTTTTTAGAAGCCATGATGAATAAATCACCTATTTCTGTTGTAACCGATGGGGATAGGGCAATGCAGAGGGCTATCAAATCTGTTATCCCTTATGCTAAGCACAGATTATGTTCTTGGCATCTTTCTCGCAATGCACAAGCTAACATTGGTGACCCAAAGTTTACAGCAGCATTCTCAAAATGCATGGCTTCCTGGTGGACAACCAAGGAATTTGATATTCAATGGCGTTCGATTGTTTCAGAATTCAACGTCCACAAGCATCCATGGGTGATTGAGAAGGGAAATACACGACACTTATGGGCACAAGCATATCTAACCGGTCATTTCTTTGCCAATATTCGCTCAACACAAAGGTACGAGTCTATGAATGCTTCACTAGCTATTGCACTGAAACACAAGAAGACATATTTAGATGTTGTTCGTGTAATTGAAGATGGAATTAGTAGAATGCGTATGAACGAGTTGAAAGCGGATTACTTAAGTTCCCATACTAAGCCCTTCCAGATCACAAAACTGGTCGACCTTGAAAGCCATGCCGCTGCGATTTTTACCCGCGAATCTTTTCGTCTGTTCCAAGATGAACTTATACGGGAGACATTGTACCGGATTGAGGCAGAGATTAAGTCCTTATCAGATGAATGTCAACATTATATTTTGTCAAAGTACGCAGAAAAAAATAGGAAATTTGAAATTAGTTTTGATTCTCGTACGAAAACTCTAATTTGCTCCTGCAAAAAATTCGAGACCGTTGGACTTCCGTGTCGCCATCAACTTCACATTTTGAAGCAATTGGACTACACATATTTGCCCGGGACTTTGATTCAAAGTAGGTGGACTAATGATGCGAAGGCTTCTGCACCCAGCTATGTTGATTTGAATGTGTCTCCAGAAGTGATGCAAATGGCAAGGTTCGCTGCTCTACGTTCAACGTCAAGTAGGTTATGCTACATTGCATCAAAGACAGACGAGTCTTTCAAAACCGCAAGAGATGAGATGAAAAAACTAATAGAAGAATTAGAAAACTCGTTTGGTTTGAATCATTCAGTCAACCAGAGCATTGTAGTAAACAATGTTCGTGACCCTCAACGAAAACAACGCAAGCGAAAAGAAGTGCCGAAGAACAAGGTCGAGAAGAAAATTAGGCGATGTGGGTACTGCAACGGTGAGGGGCATAACAAACTAACATGTCCTCAAGTCAAGCTCAGTTTGAGTACAAGCACACAGCCTACATCAACTGATTTTTTCGAAGACGGAATGGAATG